TTTTTTTTTTTTTTTTTTTAATTCACCGTATATTAATTTGAAGAAGAGAGTAGGTATAGTATAGTATTGTTTTGTTTTAGATATATATATACACACGCATAAAACCGACATTCAAGAGTTTTATGAATATTGGAAAGATTAATAAGAGATTTTGTGCTGATATAATTACTAACAAATTAGATGACTACTATCAATCAAAACAATACTATTAACAAATAATTAATATAAAGAATATTATTTATTGGCAAGTAGAACTATACAAGTCATCAAATAATTTTGGCATCTACCGCATCTTCTTTTGGGAAAAAAATCGGTAAAAAAAATCTTTGGACCAAATGGTTCCTTTCTTCTTCTTCTTCTTCGACTTGTCCGGTTTTATGATGAAAAATCGTCGTCACAGAGGCAAGACGGGAATCGTAAGCTTCCTTTGCGCCTTATTCTTAATTATTTGCTTAGATTCAAGATCAACGGCACCATTAAGTCTGTGTGAGTGTTTCGATGTTTGCTAGAAGGCTTTGGATACACGAGAATGTTACCCAGTTCTGAAGCTTTCAACTTTTTGTGCTTCCTTCTCCTTGGCTCATTATCATCCTCTCAGTATATGTCTCTTTTCCTGAGGCGAAGGAGGGGATAAAGCATGCATTCCGAGGACGTAAAGTACCGTCTATTGACACTGTATCTACTGAAGATTCTTCCTAAAGAGAGATAGTTCTGGCTTCTTCAAAGATCCAAACTTGGCTTTTTTGGGTTTCTTCTTTGACTTTAGTTCAGAAACCCCCCGTGGTATCGTTCCTGCTTTCCAAAAATAGAGATTAATGCTATAATAGCAGGAGATTGCTAAATTCACAACAGTTCAATCAACAAAAGGAACAATAGTCAAAATGATATAGCTGACATACAGTGAAATATGATTTTTCAAATTTGATACTCAACTAAAAATACTAAAGGTTCAGTGAACAACTTGGGTATTGTAGTTCATGACTCGAGATGGTAATGACTAATGATTGATCGAGGGTTTTGAAGTTCGTCATTGTAATGATTGCTCAAGTGAGGCTTTTTTGGAATGGTTGGCGCCTAGGCAGAAAGCTCATCGGGCTACGTGACTATCGAGTGAGCAAGCTCAAGTATTGAGCTCAAAAGGTGGCATATCAACATGACTGCTAGTGAAGATCTACTTGACATACTTATCCTAACACACACACGGATAGCTGAGATTTGTTTCTATGGGAACTATCTATTGTAAAAGGTAACTACAGAGTATGTAGTGCTCAAGTAAAATCTATAATTACATCATTGTAAGGCTACCCAACACAACACATCAGTAGAGATTTTAGATTCCAACGTGCATAACAATGTGAACAAAACAAGCTTCTTTGCAAAGGCATGCAGCTAAAAACTTACACACACAAAGAAAAAGGAAAAAAGTTAGAACTGTGTTCCTTAGCAACACCAACTGATGATAAATATGTATAACTACACAGCCTCGGTCGCACACATCTGACACATGGGGAAGCAATGACCATTCAAATCCAACTCCATGAGAATCATGATAATCAACTTACAGTATAATTCTATTGGGACCACTTTTTTTCTCTCATTCATTACATGCGACCCCTAAAAGATTAAAAATCCAGCAGTTGAAAATTAGTAGCCACACTGCCAAATCTGGCATTAACAACTTTTAGTTATTTCAGCACACCAAATTTCAAAGTATTTCCTTTTCTTCTTTCTCTGTTCCTTTAAAACTGATATACTATTTCTAGAAAAAAGTAAAAGAACTCATCATCTATGACTAACAGCGGACTCTCAACATAGCAGTCGATGAATGATATAAAATAAGAGAAATGCTGGAAATTAAATTTCATGAAATTAAGCATCCATCTAGCACATATAGCTATAATATACAATAATACACGCACACATAATATACATACTGGTATATAAAAAATAAATAAAACGCTGGTAGCAAGGCAGGGAATCAAACATAGTATAACTATGACAAAATGCATTATAGTTAAAAGCTGACGGAACTTAAGACAACACTCTCTGAAGAAGGTGGAGGTACTTGTTTTGATGATTCAAATGAATCCAACATTGGCCTTACTACAGGGCAAAGGAATAGTCCTCTTAATGAGAAATGCAAACCCTCCCAAGACATTTGCGGTCTTTCTAAATCACATCAGACATTTTGGTCATTTAACAATGGGATACGTGTCGACAAATCAAATCAATGACCACTATTACCATGAGGAAATTATTATCCCAGTGGAAATTCTATTTCTGTACCTTAAGCTTGAGTTTATAAACTAACTTTTCAAACACATAACACGTAGGAGCAATTAATAGCCATGTCTTTAACTTCACTATAAGAGTATACTAATCAGAAGTGAAGAAGGATCTGAGGAATCAAAAGAGCATTAAAATGAGCCTAATTTGCAACAAAAAACTTAGAATCCCAAATTAAGAGAATAACTGAAAATTCACAAACCTGGATGAAAAGAATAGCAACTAACCTAAGCCTTGGCAAACAGAGCACTACTTTTATCTATCATTGATCTATCATTATCACTGCAACAATATCAACTTTATGAGAAAACATGCAAATAAACTGATACGTGGCAGACTAAGTATGTCAAAAACCCATTGTGATGCTAAAAATGCATGTGCTTCAAGATAGTGACACGATTTCAGTAGGGAAACAACTACATTATGAAAACAAGATATGACAAAACATAAGCGTAAAGTATGCCAATCTATTAACACATCGAGTACCTATGATTCAGTTGACGATTCTCGACGTGTGAGTGAGCAGAATTATCTCCATCACACTCTTGCACAGAATAAAGCTTTGTATGCGTATGTAAAGCCACCACTTCGAAATTATAACCAGAAAGATTAAAAAAAGGGAAATTCTTTACACCCAGAAAAGTGAAAGGGGGAGAGGAAATGAAGTACATTGAGAGTACCTAAAGGAAGATTCAGCCGTAAGCGTGTCAGCGAAGAAATTGAGCTGGTCGTCGAAGCTGCCATTGTTGCTGTTGAAGCAGTTGCAGCACTTTGATGAAGTTCTGAACCATTTTCTCAAGATAGACTGAGCTCAGCAGCACTGTCGTTGCGACTGCCATCCTTTTCCCCATTGGCGGTCATCAACTCTCGTGCTAAAATACTTGAAAAAATGCATATAGACTTCTGACACAAATAAAGAAACAATGTACCCATTAAACAAAAGAAATGAGAACCTACATTGAGAAATTGAGAAAATAAACCCCAGATGAACCTAAATTTGTTGTATACGTATGTGTAATTAAAAGAAAACCAAAAAATTTTACTGCCATGCCCTCGCGAACCTCTATCAATCGCAAAAAAATATTCCAACCTCGACCGTCGGCCGGTAGGATCGAAAAATGAGTATTCTGCAAAATTTAGGTTAAGATCGAAAATGGTACCAAATAGCAGTTGAATCTCACCTTACATAAACAGGTTGGGCCTTGAGCCTGGACGCCTTGTAAGTGGTCTTGAGTTTCCTTGTTGGGGGCCTCACCTTTCTGAAAACCAAAGGAAATTTGATTTTCGAGTCGTTAAATTGTTTGGTGCTCTCCCTTTTGCAGAGCTTAGCGGGAATAGTGGCCGTTTTGATTATCTGTATGCAGTGGTGACGAACCCTAAGTCGAGATGCCCTCTCAGTGTACATTTGCCCGACTGCACCATTGAACGTTGTGTCACGATACTCCTTGTACATGTTGTGATAGCCGGTTCTACTTTGGTATCTTAACCAGATGCCGCAGTTCTTGATTGTGGTCGGGTTTTTCTCGAATATCTGTTTCAAAATAAATAAATAAATAAGTAGAGAGATCGAAAGGTTCATATGACCTCTCGTTGCAAGATTATCGATTGCACAAAAAAAGTAAAAGGAAAGAAAGAGCATGCCTTCTTTCCAGCTCCTAATCATTTTCACGTGATGAGTGCGAAGGAAAAAAGAACAGAAAAGAAAAGATTAACCGAGAGATAAGTAGAAAGAGGAGAAAAAAGAAAGGTTCGAGTCAGTTCACGTTTGGCATGATCTTACAACATCCGGAGTATATGCAATAGAAAAATTCGAAGCATATTGTTGGGCAGTGCAGAAACATCAAGAGCCTAGTTTAATAACAAGAATCTCTTTGACAAAACACAAAAATTTAATAAGAAACGTAATAGCAGAGAACTGAACATAAAGTGGTGCAATAAAAGATACGAAATGTTAGTGCTCTAGAGTCCAAAGCGGGAAATCACAAGTCAATCACACAACATAATTAGCTCATCTAAAACCCATGACAAGGCATTGATCTTGAAAAGTATAGGCACGTCAAAACATGTACACACTTCTAACATAACACAAGAATTTAAAATGAGAACGAAAAAGTGAGGACACATACAAAGCATAACATATAGAAATTTGAAAAATCGTGTGAGACTGAAAAGCACAGACACATCAAAAGTCAAAACACATTAAAACAGGTGCTTCGTCCAGTACAATACAAGAACTTAAAACAAGAACAAAAATTTGGAGAACACAGGCAGTAAGCATAACAAGAAGGGTTTGGAGAATTCTGTAACATCAATACAAACATATACCTCATTGATAGCAAAAACCTGACCATTGCTCTTCTTCACCTTCTTCAGCTTCCTCAGAAAGTACCTTTACATAAAGAAATCAAATATAGGGACCCATTAAGTCCAAAAACTCCATTAGAATATCTAACTAAAGCTTAAGACTAAGATTTCTATCAACACAAGCATTAAGTTATGCATCATAAAAACAACAACCAGATCATTGATTTGCTTAAGAACGAGGAAAAAGAATGCCCAAAGTCACCACATCAACATAAACTTCGAGCTACAAATCTAACACCACAAAAACGAAATACACAGAAAAATTTCATTTTTACATGATAAAACAGAGAGGGGTGCAAATAATTACCAGAATTTCGACTTGGCTCGGACCTCATTGGTAGCCCATAGCTTCATCTGGTAGATCTTCGGGTGCTCGTCGGCAAATCTCTTCCGACCACCTGGTACTGATGAAACTGAAAACCACACCGTCGACACTCGACAGACATAAGATCAATCATCAACTCTATGATCATAATGCATACACGTAGATGGAAGCCGTGAAAATGAATCGAGGGATGGGATTGTTTACCTTGTAAGTCACCATTTTCGACAGTTCTTCAGCTGCTGTTGAGCTTCCTCTCCGTGCGGCTGAGGTGAAGACGAAACGCCTTCGGCTTTCTCGCCGTTTGACGATCTTCCTTAATTGTAACGTCTTGCACATCCATTTAATCTTGTTTAATGGGAACATCTTGCAAATCCAATTTTTTTTTTTTTTATTCACCGTATATTAATTTGAAGAACAGAGTAGGTATAGTATAGTATTGTTTTGTTTTATGCATCACAGGGCACTTTACTAGTTTTAAATATGCTAACTAAAATATTCGATCAATAGTTAAATTTCCGATTACCCGATAGATGAGTAAAAGACTAGGAAACTTT